ACAAACAAAAAAAAAAAAAAAACAAACAAAAAAAAATAAAAATATTAAAAAAAAAAAAAAAAAAATTTTTTTTTTTTTTTAATATTTTTTTTTTTTTTTTTATTTTTTTACTTTTTTTTTTTTTTTTTTTTTTTTTTTTTTTTTTTTTTACCTTTGAAATTTGCAATCAGATCAATTCAGATCTTTAATCGATTTTGATTTCTGGCCCGTGAAATGTTGCGATGTTAAATTAAAAAGAAATTTTTAAGACGAGGCTGGTGATAGCAAGACATTAAAAAAAATTAATGATAATCATAATACCAATAATATCGAAACGTCTTGTTTTGTTTTGTCTTCCTTTCCGAACAAGACAGTGAAGTTGCCGTCAACCTGACTATGGATGGGGGAGACAACCTCTGGCTGCTGCCCAACTGCACGATCTCGCTCCACGACCAGGACCCTCACACCTTCTCGCTGTGCACCGAGAACGAGGCCGATCCCACCCTCACGATGGACCTCGACGTCATGAGCCGCTACCAGAACCGCAGCTCGTGCATCACACGATCGTTCGTGGCGACGAAACGTCTGACCATATTGCACGCATCCTACTTCGACACGTGCAGGAGATCGAGCGTCACGAAATGCAGCATCAAAGGTCTTTATAGATTTCGAGTTTTCTATTGATCATATGCTGTGTTTTGTGTTTAAAATAGGAAGTCACACATTTCGAAAATAAATTTCGTATCAACAACTCCACGCCAGGAACAAATTTTACACTGGCATGATTTAAGAAATAATTGTATTTTGAGAAAATGTATGAATATGAAAATAGTTTGTGCTTTTTAGCTACATGAACGTGGTTGCCATGCCGTGAAAGTGGTTGTCTTTCCATGGGAATGTGGTTGCCTTGACGTAAAGTTATTTGCCTTGCAATGAATTTGGTTGTCTTTTCATGGAAGTGCGGTTTCCTTGACATTATTAATGGCTGCCTTGACATGAAAGTGAAATGAAACGTGAAGAACTCAAGTATTTGAAATTAAACTAATATTAAATATTAAAAGCTTCACTCAAGAAGCTAACAGCTATTCTGACCACACAAAAATTCACTCAAGAAGCTAACAGCTATTCTGACAGCACAAAGATTCACCCAAGAAGCTAACAGCTATTCTGACCACACAAAGATTCACCCAAGAAGCTAACAGCTATTCTGACCACATAGTGATCCCCCGAACGCTTTGCTAAGGACCAAACCAATTTTGGGGAAACTCAAAGACTTTCAAGACTGAAAACGATATGCGCAATACAACTTTAAAAAAAAAAAAATATCTTAACAAAACAACAAAATATTATCTTATCTAAAAAAAAATATATTTTTTTTAAATTTTAAAGCGGCTCTCAGAATATAATTCGTATTTTCAATTTTAATACCTAAACATGCGTCCCAGGTCTTTGTCTACCCAGTGCTAAAGTGAAACCCTTTACTACTTTTTTGTTTTTTTTAAATGTTAATTTTAAAACGAGGCAATCGTTCCTTTCAAATATGTTGAATTATTATTATTATTCATCCTCATCCTCATCTCCGTTAGTCCTTGGACCGATGGGGCGCCAGAGATGACATGTGAACCATCGTCCTCCATTCCTCTTGTCTTCAGCACTACGCACTGCATCGCCCAGTGTTAGTCCTTTCCACTTTTTTTATGTTATCCTCCCACCTTTTCTTTGTCTTCCTCTTCTTCTCCCTCCTCTTGTGGTGCCCTGCAATATTTCTTTGGCAAGCCCTTGTTTCCTTGTTACGTGGCCGTACAATTGTAGTTTGCGTCTTTTCACAGTCTCCAGTAGTTTATTATTATTATTATTATTAAAAATCGAACGGAAAGTACTATTTTTTATATTTTCGCAGGTTTTCCGTCCTGCTTAGAAATAAGTAAGTATTTTGGAATATGTACATCTAGATTTTTATGCAGCATCATATACTTTTGTATCTATACAAATCTCCAGCACAGGGAGTAACTAATATATGGACAGCGGAGAGCTTAGCACATTTTCATTAAAAAGTATCGTAACAAATTTGGTTTATTTACTTCATCACATTAAACGACTTCCCCAATCTGTGATGCAAAGGTCCATGCGATCTGCATGGAGTAAGGTGCAGTAAGAATTTGCCTTGGAATTTGAGCACATTGCCGAGGGGCTAGAGTTTGTGTCCATGTATAGCAAGCACTGAAGGGAATTTATATAAATAAATAAATACATATATATATATATATATATATATATATATATATATATATATATATATATATATATAAATATAAAGATATAATAATAAAAATAATATATTTGTAAANAAATGTATTACGACGTATATATATTTATTATTGTCGTTCTCCCGCATAAAGTGCAGCACTGAACATTACAAGAGGTCACGGTTTCAATGTTGACCCCTAAATTATTAAGTACCAAAACTTAAAAAACAACAACAACAACAAAAAAAAAAAAAAAACATTTCGCAGGAAAGCCCGAGATGAAATTATCCATTGACGGGGTCATAGTCTCCACCGCAAATTGTGAATGGAACTTCCCGTCCAAGTCCGAGCACGAGCTGCAGTTTTGTGTCGAGGATTTAAAATTGCCGATCCTGAAGCTCTACGACAACCTGACCCTGATCGGGAAGAGCGAGCAGTCCCGACCCGGCTGCATCATCGCCAACCTCATCGTGCCTGACCACCCCACCACGTACTACCTGATGTACTGGGACGACTGCAAGAGGAGAGGCACCATCGCGTGTAGATTTATCAGTAAGTCGAACAGAGAAATGTTGTCTGTATAATATAATCAGACTAGGTGGGGCAAAGCTACCCCGTTTGGCGTGTCATTTACAGGAGGAGGTGCACAATGTATAATATTAACTCCGGAGAGTGCTCCGGATATCCACCAATGCTCAGTACCGTCTATTTTTTTTTTGTTGCTTTAAGCCATCTAGTACCCTTGCACTGACACATCAAGTAAAATACTAACACTTGTATCGTGAATGTAACATATTTCATGAAATTTTATGTTAAGTAAGCATTAAATATTTTCTAAGGAAACATGCCAATTGGTGGAGAGGTCTTGTGTGTGTGTGTGTGTGTGTGTGTGCGTGTGTGCGTGCGGGTGTGTGTGTGTGGTCAGAATGACCGTTCCAACTTGCCATTAAGTTCTCAAACTTATAGGCCTACCATACGTATGCAATAATAATTATTATTTACTTTGCAACTTGTTCCCCTCTATGCAGCCAAGGGATGTCAACACTGCACAACATGTAAGTAAGTAGATTGGCAGACAGACGGACAGACGGACGGATAGACATCAAAGATCATCGTGGACACAACGCAACATAGACATCGGATTAAGCAAGTACAGAGTAAAAATAAATAAATTGTACGTGTGTTTAGGGATTCTTCTGTTAAGGAAGTAGTGTGTTTAGGGTCCTGCAAGTATTAAGGGTGGGGGTGGGGAGGTGTGGGGTGGGGTGGGGGAGGGAAGGGTGTTACGTCGTCACCAAAACTGAAGTAAAAAATAGAAGGGATCCAGGGGTGACTGGTTTTAATTGACTTTAAACAAGAATATATTTTAAAAATTTGGGGTTACAACCTATTCTATGTGGTTTATTTTTTTAGGCTTTTTTTTTCTTAAATAAAAAAAATATAAATATAAAATAATACATACAATTTGTGCCGATGTGACCCCAAAGAGAATTCGCACGGTCCCGTCCATGTCGCCTAAAAGTACACGCACCACCAATGCCAATGACAACATGACAAAGTCGCCTCAACATCACGCTACACAATACGGGTTTATCATTGTTAACATGTTTGTTCTCATTCATACAACAAATAAAAAAAAACAACAACTAATTTTATACAGTCAACTTATAACTATGAGGTGCAGTTAAAAAAAAATAGACGTCCGTATCTTTTTGTCCTGTTCTATAATTCAAGCTTCCACATACCCCGTTTTGCTATTTCATTCAGTATCACTATGAACCACGGAGTCATAAAAAATCTTTAAATAGAAATGATTCAAATAGAACCAAAAAAAAAATATAAAAAAAATTGGGGAGGCTAAAACTATGTATTAAATAAAGCTAAGTTTTTGTCGTGACGCGCCAAACTATTCCATCTACCACACCTCACTACAATACACACATTTTAAAAAAAAAAAAAAAGTTTTTAATAAAGTAGTCCACACTGAAGATTAATACACTTAAAGTACTCTACATATGAACATTTCTAGTCTTAAAAAACATTACTCTCACATTGTCTTGTCTGTTTTTCTTTGAT